CAAGAAAAGTTTAAAAATAGTAGCAAATTTAATTGGTTTAAATATCAGGGGTAAATTTTAATTGCTTATTATCAAAATTATAAAATTATCTTGAAGCTTGATTTTGCTAGAGACGAACCCATATGGTCTGAGTCAGTATTGTTGATCACGTGGAATAAAACACATTCTGGCATATATATGTGTAAGAAAGTCATCTAGTTATTATTAGTCAGTGTTAAAAGAAAAACCGGTAAGTTTCAGTTCATATTGTTGTTGTAAAGTGATCTGCATTGGGTCGAGATCGGTTAGTTCAACTCTGAGAGCAGTTTTGAGAAATTTGATTGACCAAAGTTTATCGTAGAATGGTTTGATAATGTCAGTATTTTTGAATACTATGAAAGCGATCTGCTACAGGCCCTTGATGATCATTGATCACTTTATATCTGAAAAATAGTTTTGTAACATGTCAGATTTAATAAATAGAGAATATCCGATACTTTAAGAGTCCTTTCTTTTTTGGCATCTTGTTTGAGTTTTTTAGCTGTAGGGTCAACGATGGTAAATATAGGATTATGTTATGTTTCCTGTACTTTTGTGATAGCATATATCATTTCTTCTATCGAACAAAAATAGATTGTGAATTTTCTAAATTTAAAAACATAGGTGGAATCTTGATAATCATTATATCTAACAAATAAGAAATTAATAAAAATGTGTTTTTCTGCAATAGTATTTTCTTTTATATCTGAAGTATTATTATTCGCGAAAAAATGAGTAGAAGCAGTAATGATATTGTAAGTAGCCCCTTATTTTTCTTGGTCATGTGACCCTTTATTTTGTTCAATTTCATCAGATCAAGATTGTTTTTGTTTTCCTTTGTCATTGGTGGGTAAAATATATTCAAAACCAGTATCTTCAAATATGTTATCAGTGTTATTAAGGGTAGTGTATAAAATCTAAGTTAAAATTTATGTGCACAAATTGATTAATTATTACTAAAATAAGAAAATCATAACATTTTCTTAAGTACAATTACCTTTTTTATACATAATTTATCTATTTTTAGTAATAATTTGTGCATATTTTATGTTGTATAATATGTATATACAAAAAATTAATATGCATATAGATTTTATACACTGATTAAAGGCATATATAGAGTCACTTGTGGTTTGTTTTAGAGTATTAGTGTTGAAAGGAGTGGAGTTCAAAATTGTATCAACATCCATTTCTAAGGGCATGTTATTAGAAGAAATATTGTTATCAGTTGACTGTTCAGTTAATGGTTTATTATTGTTTATTGTCACTATATTTGAAATATTTTTTTGATTTTTAGGTCGATTAAATCTTTGTTCGAGATGTTAAAGTTCTTTGTTTTTTTGAAGAAATACTATTTTCATTAGTTTCAGTTATTTTAAAAGAGGAGCTTAAGTTGTTGGAATTATGAACTGAAGTATTTCGTTTATTTTGTTGATAAGTTTTTTTTGGTTATTGTTTGGAGGAAATTGCTCTAATTACTAGCATAATTTTATTTTTTATTCGATCTTTTTTAGTAAACTAGACGTTTGCCTATTTCGAAATACTTGCGATTATATTTCAAAATCTGGACTTCTTTATTTAAAGTAGAATTTATTGATTCATAATTTCAGCCAATAATACAATTGTGATTATCTCAAGATTAGATGATCTGAAATCAATGAATGGATTCGTCTAGTCGCGAGAAATCGAATAGTAATTATTTCATACGAATCAGTATAATATTGACCGAGATCGTTCATCTTTTATTTTTATTTTTTTTATATATAAAAAATTATATGATATGATGTCATTTCGACCATTTTGACTTTTACCTCCAATAGTCGAAATGATTTCAACCATTTTGACTATTTTGGATATCTAAAATGATCTATTTTGACTTCATGTATAATTGTAACATTAATTATTCAAGAATATCAAGATGATGAAATAATTAACATATCAGATAATAAATTATTTAATGATTCTGAAGATGTAGATCATGATATTGCATCAATTCGTTATGGTAAAAAATAATGAAAATAATAAAATTTTAAATAAAGAAAATATTAACGATTTAGAATAATTCATTAATAATACTATGGATTTTGAACAAATCTTGAAAAAAAAACATTCATTTTTAATAAAAAAGCTAAATAGAAATTAAATAATATTTTCAATTTTGAAAAACTTCAACCACCAATATATGGGGCCTTTGCAATAGAAAGGGGGGAAACAGCCGGGAAAAATTAATTTTACTTTATATGCCAAATATGGTTTTTATGCTGAAATATGTTCAAATTTAGCATTAACTCACTTTTGATTTTTTCGGCTGTTTCCCCCCTTTCTATTGCAAAGGCCCCATATTTGTTATTATTAAATAGTAAATATTTTTTTTTTTAATATTTATTTATCTAAAATATTAATTTTATTTATTTTTTTTAGACAAAATGAATTAGTTTAAAATATTCTAGTAATTTTCATTTTATATAAATGTATTTGTTTTAATAAAATATTAAATATTAATGATATTGTTTAAATAAGTTTAATAATTTTATTTTATTCTTTTACTATATTAATTTTCTAAAAAAAAAAAAAAAAAAAAAAAAAAAGCATTTTAAAAAATTTTTCCTAAAGGTATGAATACCTTCTAGACCCCCATTTGCATATTTATTTATTAATATAATAATATTCTTTTATTTATTTTAATTTAATTTTTTTGTTTTATTTACTATTTACTTTATTTATTTTATTTATATTTACTTTATTTATTTGTCCAAATAATTGGATATTTTTAAAATTATATTGGAAATTTGAACATATATCCAATTGAATATCCAATTGTTAAATTAGACAATTAGTCTAACATTGATAGTCTGTTTATAACCTTATCATCAGAGCACACTTTTCCTATACTATTACATCTACAATTATGATATGAAATACTAAGATTTATGATAAACCATGCTTTGAGATGTTTTGTAATCAATTTATTATTAACAATCTTTGGATTAATTGTTTCATTTTATGATATTATGGATATTTAAACACAGATTTGCTATGATTGTTACCATATATGCTGTTCAAAACATACTAGTAGTATCAGGTTATCTTTGAATATGAATATTATAATAATCGTCTATGTTCAGAACAAACAAAATTTCTGAATATTTTGTAAGGACTTTTTCTACATATTCCCTGTATGCATCAGAAATTCTTTTCTTTTTACAATCTATTGATCTCAACATTGTAGATACGTCAAGATTAACCATTATATTCAGATTTCATTACTTGTACCTACTGAATCTAAATAAAATTTAAGATTGAATTTGAATGAATTAATTTTCATATTATGTAGTGAAGCAAGTAGATGATAAATTAAAACTATCCATTTTTTCATATGGTTTATCGTTTGCTCATTACATTTAAGCAGTCGAGCTGCCAAATAAAAATAGTCAAAGAAATCCTTCAGACTTGGTTCAAGATCTTGAAATATTCTTTGCATTTCATTGAATGTATATAATGGCTTTTCTTTATTTGAATGCTTTCTTTCGTAAAGGATCCTTGCCATTTTCTTGATTGCTCCAAAGAGATTGATATTATTGATATTTATATTCATCTCTTCCTTATGTGTAATGTTTTCGTTCATTGATTTTTACTCGCTTGAAACCTTTTTTTAGAGGATTTTCTACAAATTACATATAACATATATTACATAAAACAATACCTTCCTCCTATGTTACCTTTATTAAGTCATTACTTTTAGCTTCTTTTCACTTTTCTCCTTTAATAAATGAAATTTGAACAAATTAATAGTTTGGCATTCTACACATTTCTTTGTCTCAGACATGTCTTTAATATGTAAATAGTAATGTAAAGATATAGGATTAAAAAAATATATTGTAATAAGGTGCGAATGCTTTAAGTTTGCTTATGTGAAAAAAGGTTATGCAAGCCACTTGAAAAAGTACTGTAAAATGTATTAAATTAAATTGTGTAACAATTCGTCTTGATTTGGACGGTATTATTAAGTTATATGGGAGCTGATCTATTAAAAGTGGGTTACGAGACATAGTAAATCACATGATCCGTACCTCAATTTTAATAGAATATTATCCATATAATGATGATCTACCGCAGTAAAAATTGCCATTTTTTTGTACAACACATAAATCTACTGATATATTTTTAAAATTGCTTAATTAGTTTTGATAATCATGATAAATATAACCAAAAACCTTCTTTTTAAGACCTTTGATCCAATTTATATATTTTTAAATAAGTTGAATTTTTCTTTTTTCAGATATATCTTCAGATATTATATTATTATTCTCAAATGCTTTTTAGATTAAAATTTTTTCATTATAATAATTTCCATATAAAGTTATTTTTTTTATTCAATTTTATTCAATTATTTCTTTTTATTTAATATCAAATTAAAATTTTCCATAAGAAAATTACTAATCAAAGTAACATAATCATATGCGGCGTCTCTTGTTAATTTGAGGACGTGTATTGTCATTTTTAAAACCGTGAACTTGTTGGAGAATAGAAGCAATATAACCAGCAATTTGATTTGCTTGTTCCATATCTTTACTATCAAATTCACATTGATGTGGACCAGATACTTCCACTATTGGATCCGCTGGAGAGCCAGCCCATCGAATAAAATACCATTGTAATGCATTTGTCACAATTCCATACATAAGAACCGGAACATCATCTATATTATCTATTTCATCTATATTATGCTTTCGTGCTAATGTCTAAAAAAAATATTAAGTTATACATTAAAATAACAATAAAAAAAAGTAATAATAGTAAATGCTGTATAATAATCTCTTGACCTCTACAGCACTGTGTAATTGCACAATGTTCTGGGCAGCTCCTTTCTCAAAATCTTCTTTCTTAACTTCTGAAACCAACATAACTATATCATCACTTTCCAAATAGACAGCATAGTCAGTGGGGCCAAAGCCACAGGATCCATCAAGCCACTCTTCAGCTTTAAGTTGAAGACTTTCTTCTATTGATTGGACACATTGTATCATGAAAGCAGAAATGAACTCTCGGCAGGTTGATTCATTTCGGACAACATGTTTGAAAGTACGTTTCTTTTTCTTAAGCTCATCAATAAGTAATTTGAATTCATATGCATTAATTTCAGGTTTAAGTTTTGAAGCTCATCATCTGTGATATAAAAAATCATATGATAAACCATAAACAATGGCACAAAAACGGTTTCTCGAATGAAAAAAATAATACCTATTTTAAATTTACGAACATCGCCTATGGAAGATCCGTCCTTATGCAAAAACTTCTTGAGAACTTCGCCTATTCCCAGTCACCATATGCTTTATTACCTATAGAAGAAAAAAACTAAATGAGAATTCATGAAATTGTTATATCTAATCTAATATCAACCTTTAACCTGAATAGAAAGACTTATTTCACGTTCATCACTGCCTTCTGGAGGTTTAATTTTTGCTACTATTTTATTGAGTGCAAACTCATTCTTGATCACTTCCTCTTCGCTTTCCTTTTTATATTGGGAGTTGCCTGAACTCAAGGTTTCCCATTTCGTTTCAGCTTCATAGCGTATAAGGTACCAAAGACCACTGTTGGTGTGGAAGCCTTTCTTTATACCATGATGTGGATAGACTGCAGCGAACAACGACTACAGATAGAAGAAAAACATGAACACGAGACGTATAGGTGTAACAAAATACTTAGAAATAATTAACTTGAGAGTCAGATAAAGGGTAACGCACAACAAGAGGATCCTTGTCAGTTGCATTCAAAGTATACCCGGAAGAAGAGGTGTAATACGGTCATTGTATCTAAAGAATTCGAGTTTGTCTGGATGAACATTTTTAAGAATTTCTTTTTTACAAAGTTCAGGGCTGATATCATCTAAGTCAATTTTGTCAAGCTCTGACTGTTGTCTCATAACGCTCTAATATTAAAGATGATTCCATTTTCAGAGAAACAATACATAAATGTAGAAAGAATCGGCAATTTATAATCACGAAATTTACTGCGCATTTTGAAATCATAAAATGATGATAATCTTTAAATTTAATTTACATCTGTTCCTATAGTTCTATCATCTTAAATGTTGTGCTTAACACCTTAATTATTTCAACCTAAAGGAATCCATTTATAAAAATTATTATATTGAATCAATTAGTCTTCTTTGTTGTATTTTTAATTCTTTTTTCCATGTAATTTGAAAAACCAAATGCGGAATCAATCTATCGAGCATCGAAATTTAAGGCCGAGAAAAAACGAAGGGCTTTCTAAGCATACTATGGTTACCTCTCGTAAAATTTTTTTACAAATTTATAGAAATGTGCCAAAAATCTTGTCCCAACATTTTATTCGGCAACCTTATCCATATAATAAAGCTATTGTGTTAAATTGGTCACCTCTTATTAAATCATCAAATTTTTTACGAACTTTTGAAGAAGCTTCCTTGTCTATTAATTTAAGAATGTGGAAATGGAGGTTTGCAATAACTAATCATACGAGACGAAAACATTCAGCTCTTGCGCTAGTAACAACGAAAGGAAAAAAAAGTCAAACAGATTTGGAAGTATTTTATACATGTGATCAAATTAATCAGCGTTATCTTCAACATTTAATCGATTGTTTTCGAAAAAATTTGGAAAGAAGGAGGAGTACTAATGACATATTTTTAACATATGACGATTTATCAAAAAAGGATGCTTTGCGGTTACTTAATGAGAATGATTACACACAATTAATAACACGATTGAAAGATTACAATTCGAAAGATTTTGCATTACATTGGTTAAATCGATTTTTTAGTGATATGAAATCCGCCAAATTGAATTTGTCACTAAATACATATGGATTAATGATAGTGATGTATGGGAAGTGGGGAGAATATGACAAGGCAGAAAATATTTTTGTTGAAATATGTCAAAAGAACATTTCATATGATGTTTACACGTATAATAAATTTATTTATATATATGCAAATATAGGTAATTTGCAGCGCGTTTATCAATTATTACAAGATATGAAATCCAAATCGATTCATCCGAACCTTTCAACTTATAACATCATTATTTTGGCATATGTACGAAATAAGAATATTACGGGAGCTCTAAGCTTATTATATGAAATTGAAGAAAAAGGTTTACAACCTGATGTTGTAACTTTTAATACCATTATCAATGGACTTTTGCAACTTAATGATTTTAAGAGTGCGGAAAGATGTTTTGAAAAAATGTCATCCATGAGAGTTAGACCCAACGCAAGAACTTTCAACACATTAATGTCAAGTTATTCCAAAATGGGAGATTACCAATATGTGGAAAAACTTTACAATAAGATGATCGAAATGAATATTCAACCAAGTCCAGATTCATATTTTACATTAATGTCGGCTTACGTTCATTCTGGTAAGAAGCATCAAGTTTTAGAAATCATGAATCAATTAAAAACTCGTAATTGGAAAAGCTTACGAGTTTATAACATGCTTATACATTTGTACATAAGACTTGATGATTTTTCCATGGCACGTGAAATATTTTGTCAGATATCAGAATCAGCATTAAAACCGAATGTTGTTACGTTCAATACTTTTATCAACGGATATATTAATCGACAAAACCTGAAAGATGCAATTAAATATTTTGATGAAATGGTTAAATCTGGGATTTCTCCAAATGTTGAAGTTTACAATACGTTATTGAAGGGATATTTAAATGCTTACGGAATTTCAACTGTAGAAAAAATATTCACTCAAATGTCTACTCATGATATTGCACCTGATGTTATCACTTATAACACTTTGATACAATATATCAAGGGACAAAACAAAATAGATGATTTCGAAAGAGCGATTGATCAATATCGAATAATGGTTAAAAAATTGATTAAACCTTCTGATCGAACTTTTAACATATTGTTGAACTTGGTGATGATGAGGGACTTGAGGAGGGATATAATACATCATCGTCAACTTACTAAATACCAAGAATCTAAGGGACTGGAAGAATTGACCGTAAAAGATATTTTAAAAGAGATGAAATCAAAAGGTTATATAATAGATGTTGTTACTTATTCTATTCTGATAAAAAACTTTGTACAATATAAGAAAATGGATGAGGCCGAAAAATTATTGCAACAGATGACAAATAACGGCATAAAACCTAATCAATACATTTTCAATATAATGATTGACGGCTATAGCAAATCGTATAATATGATTATGGCACAACAAGCAGTTAAAAAGATGATTAATTCAGGATATCAGAAGGATCAAAAGGCATATACATCTCTAATTAATGGATATGTTAATATTGGTGAATTTAGAGAAGGTCAGAGGGAATTTGAGGAAATGAAACGAACTGGGATAATTCCTGACAACATTGTTTATTCTTCACTTATAGATATGTTCGCCAACGAAAAAAATATACGAAATGCACAAAAAGTTTTTGATCATATGCGTACACAAGGAATTCCTATGGATAAAATTACATATACTGTACTTATGAAAGCATATGCTTTAGATGGAAACATTAACGGCGCATGTTCTATTTATAATGAAATGATTAAAGAAGGGTGTGAACCAGATGAAGTGGTGATATCTACGATGTTATCTGCATATAAACGAGGAAAGAACATTAAGGGTGTGATTGATTTTCTTAAAGATTCTAAAATAAATATGTATCTCAACACACGAAATTACAATATTCTATTGAACATTCTTTCTCAGGAAAGAGACCTATCGGGGGCATATAAATTATTCATGAAAATGTTGGAAAGTTACGATCATTCATCGAAGTCTTCATTGCGAGTAAATATTACCATAAATTCACATACACAATTTCGACATCCACCACCTGATCTAGATAGTCTTAAAATAATCCTTAAACGATTCAGTTATAGAAGGCGATGGGATTTGATTATGCTAATATGGGATGCAACAGATCAAAGAGGGATTAAACCTTCTATTGAAGATTTTTTGATATTTATAAAAGCTTTTGCAATGGCGAGAGACAAGAAAAATTTGATGCAGATTTGTGAAAAATTTATAATTCAGGATCCTCCTTACCATCTTGTTTCTCATATGAAACAAATTCTTATTATTTATGGCATACCTGTTGGGTTTATAAACGAACTAAGTGAAAATTTAAAAAATAGGGATTTCACATGAATAATTAATTTATTTCTGCGTTTTGAATTAGAAAAATATATCTAAATTACTTTTTTTTTTAAAAAAAAAAAAGGTCGTTTTAATTTAACGACAAATAATAATAAATTAGTAAATAAATTAATAAAAGATTTTAACAATTATACCAATACATAGCCAAATTATATTTAACTTTTTACTATGAAAGGTTTATATATATCCTCTATGCTGCAAATTACTCTCGCGTCTTCTAACTTACTCTTTTGAAAATTTGTGAGAAGCATTGGAGTAGTTAAGAAGGTTATTAATTTTGCTCTTCTTTTTCTTAGTGTAAAATAAAAGAGAGACAATGTGAGAGACTAAGTACGCAATTGGAATTTAATTGTTTAGTATTTTTTGTTTGTTGTTATTTGAATGTTTCTTCCAAATAGCAGCTGGTGAACATTAAAAAAAATTCCCTGTGAAATTCCTAGGGTTGGATCGATCCGGTCCTTCCTAAAACCGTCTTGTTCCTTATTCTATTATGGCCCCGATGATCCTTTGGGCCGGTGGGTGAAATGGATGTTAATAAGGCGCAGTAATCGTTTGCCACACTTTACACCAGAATCTTATATAAATAAAATTATTTGTGAACTAGCATTTTTTTCGGTAGCCATGAGGGAAGGAAAGGATTTGACGAATTTTAGCTTGCTAGGATCGCCGCACTGAGGAGAATCGGAATTCAGTATGTGTTTTTAGTAGCCGGCCTACTGAAAAAATTTTCTACACTTAAATTTCATTAAGAAATCTAGCCAGTATTGGGGCTCCCTAAGGAACCACCCCTTCTTGTGATACACATCATGTTGGTAAACGGTGAGTCGTGATCTGTCGATCAATAATCATCATTTGTTTTTTTTTGTTAGAATCAGATCAAATATTCTTATCATTTTT